TCAGAATCGGGCGAATTCAGGGTGGTATGGCCATAGACTAGGCAAAACACTCTACCACTTGAACCGCATGCTTCAAACAGTCTTAATGGTTAAAGACTGGTGCTTTTCCCATAAGATTCGGGAATAAGACAACTGTCCACTCTTAGTATTTCAACAGTGTACTGAAGGTTCTGGCTAGGTCGATTAGGTAAAACAACAGAAAGAAAAGCCATTCAGATCGGAAAGCAGCAGCACAACAAACTGTGCAAATGACCAATTTTGTACACAAGAAATCAACTAGAGCACTGTTAAAAGTAAGAAACAGGATGTTTAAGTACTATTAAAATATTAAATATTAAAAACAAATGGCTCAGTAAGACTTGTAGGATATAGTAGCAATATGCAAAAATCAATAGTATTTCTATAGACATATAAACAAAAACCTAAAAATGTTACTAAGTCAAATGTGATAGAATATGTCTGTAATACTAGCTACTTGGGAGGCAGGAGGATAGAGGACACCCTGAATAATTCAGTGAGACTCTGTCTCAAAATAAGGTAAAAGAGGCTGGCAGAGTGGCTCAAGTGGCAAGTGTGGCTGCTAGCAAGTGTAAGGCCCTGAGTTCAAACCCCAGTGCCACCAAAAAAAATAAAGAGGGAAAGGGCTGGGGGAGTGGCTCAAGTGTTAGAGCACTTGCCTAGTAAGTGTGAGGCCCTGAGTTCAAACCCCAGTGCCACCAAAAAAAAAAAGCAGTATTGCTAGGTGCCGGTGGCTCACGCTACTCAGGAGGCAGAGATCAAGAGGACATTGTTCCAAGCCAGCTGGGGCAAATAGTTCGTGAGACCCTATCTCAAAAATAAGGCTGGTGGAGTGGCTCAAGGTGAAGGCCCTGAGTTCAAGTCCCAGTACTGCAAAAAAAAAAAAAAAAAAAAAAGGAGGGAGTAAGGGAGGAAGGAAGGAAGGAAAAAAGGACTGGGGATATTAGCTCAGTGATCAGTGCATGAAGACCCTGGGTTCAACCTCCAGTACTAAAAAAAAAAAAAAAAAAAAAAAGTTTGTTTTTTTTTTTTTTTTGCAGGGGAGAGCGCGAACGCAGTCCCCCACTACCACAAATTATGCAGTCGAGTTTCCCACATTTGGGGAAATCGCAGGGGTCAGCACATCCGGAGTGCAATGGATAAGCCTCGCCCTGGGAAAACCACCTTCGTGATCATGGTATCTCCCCTGCCAGGTAAGTATAAAAAAAAGTTATTAAGAACAGAATTCCATTTATAAAAGTATCTAAAAGATCTTTAAGAATAAAATTAACAACAAAAAGTACAAACCATACTCTGGAAATTTCAAAACATTATTGAAAGAAATTAAAGATGATTTAAACATATCCATATTCATGGATTAGAAGACTTGCTGATAGAAAGATGGCAATACTCCTCAAATTGGTATAGAGGCTGAACACCATCCTATCAGAATACTAGCTGACATCTTTGGAGAAACTGACAATTTGATCCTAAAACTTATAGGGAGATATCAAGGGGTTAAGAATAACCAAAACAATCTTGAAAATGAACAAAGTTAGAGGACACACACTTGATCTCAAATTTTACAACAAGGTTATAGTACCAACTAACATAATGATAGAACAATGGAATGGAATTCAGAGTCCAGAAATAAAGCTATGGCCAACTAACTTTCAACAAGGGTGCCAAGATCATTCACTAAGAGAAAGAACAGTCTCTTTCATTTCTCTTTCAAATGGTCCTGGGACAACTGGATATCCACATACAGAATGAAGTTAGATGCTTACCTCATACCATGTTAAAAAAAAAAAAAACAAAAAACTAAATGGATTGAGACCTAACTGTAAGAACTAAAAACATAAAAGTCTTAAATAAGGGATTTGTGCCTAGAGTATATAAAGAACTAATAACTCACAAAGACAATACAATTTAAAAATGATCAAAGAACTTCAATAGACATTTCTCCAAAGATGTACAAATGATCAACAGGCCTATAAAAAGATGTTCGATGTCATTAATCAGTCATTGGGGAAATGCAAATCAAAGTTACAAGTTACAACTTTCTACTGATTAGGACATCTAGACCAAAATGTCAGGTAACAATAACAAGCATTGGTAAGGATACAGAGAAATCCAAACACTCATACATTGCCAGTGGGAATATAAAATGGTGTAGCTACTTTGGACAAGTCTGACAGCTCCTCAAGAAATCAAAGAGCTACTATTTAAACCAGACGTTCCATTCCTAGGTGTATACCCAAGAGAAATGAAAACTTATGTCGACATGTTAATTTGCAAACAAATGTTCTTAAGAGCATTATTCATTATAGCCAAATGGTGGAAACAACCCAAATACCCAAACAGATGGAAAAACAAAATGTGGTTGGAATATTAAGCCATACAAAGGAATAAAGGTGATATATGCTATGATGCAGACTGATTCCTGAAAACAGTATGTTAGTGGAAGAAGCCATGTATTACGTAATACCATGTATTATGTAATTCTATTTATATGAAATGTCCAGAATAAGCAAATGTGTAGCAGACTGGTAGCTGCCTAAGACTGAGGAAAGATGGGAAGTTGGGGATGGATGATAAAGGGTATGGATTTATTTTTGAGGTAATGAAAACGTTCTATAATTGATTATAGTGATGGCTGCACAACTGTGTATAAAAAAAAAACACTGAAATGTACATCTTAAAAGGGAGAATTAGCCAGGCGTCTGTGGCTCACGCCTATAATCCTAGCTACTCAGGAGGCAGAGATCAGGAGGATCATGGTTCAAAGCCAGCCTGGACAAACAGTTTGAGACCCCCACCTCGAAAAAAAAAAAAAAAAAAAAAAACCACATCACAAAAAAGAGCTGGTGGGTGGCTCAAGGTGTAGACCTTGAGTTCAAGCCCCAGTATCACAAAAAAAGAAAAGAGAGAGAGAGAGAGAATTATATGGTATGTGAATTGTATCTCAGTAAAGCTGTTACCAGAAGTTGTTAATAACTGAAAGTTTTCCATTCACTTCTAAAGGACTTTAAAAAAAAAATACAGTATTTAAATTATATTAAAATCATCTCTGTAAACCAACTAATTAATTCTGGTGCCTTCTAAGTATTTTTCACCCCTCCAAATCCCTCTCTCCCCCATCCCCAATCAATTCTGAGTTTGTATTTGCTAGTTTTTACTTATTTCCCCTTGATTTTCCAAATATTTTAGTAATGCCATACACTCTACACCCTCTGCAATCTTCTCTCTCAACTTCTACAGCTTTTTTGTTGCCAAAGCCAAAACTCTTCCTAATCTTTTCAGATCTCTCAGCAGAATCCTGAATCTGTGACCACCCAAGCCAAAGACCAGAGATGAGTCAGGACAGACATGAGGAAAGGTTGAGATACAATTCCCTACGCTCACCTTGGGTACTGTCATCTGCTCATAAATCCCACAGCACTTCTGGGTGATGATGGTCATGTCTTTCTTTAGCCCAGACCTCTGACCAATCCCTACTGCAGTCCCTCTACCTCACCTGACCTTTAATGCTACCTCCAATCAGCATGTTACCCATTCAACCAAGAAATATGGTCTCTAGCTTTAGGGCCAAGTATCAGGGATGCCAAATGTGCTGCTTTATCTACACCAGATACCCCTCCTGCACACAATCTTATTTGTTTGAAAACAGGGTCTTGCTATGTAGCCCCAGGCTGGCCTCAAACTTGAAATCCTCCTGCCTCAGTCTCTCAAGTGCTGGAATTACAGGTGTGCATTACACCTGACTCCCACTCACAATCTTAGAAGCACCACTGTCCACTCACTTCCCAGAGCCAGACACCTGAGCCACCCCAGATCTCAGGTCACTCCCACAAGCCAACTTCCTGTTCCTGCACTTTGACAGTTCTCCTATTCTGCGTTCCCAGGGCTGAGGTTCTATGGCAGGAGCCATGTACTAACCCCAAACTTCTCCACATCAGGTGCCCGAGTCTCTAGCTCAACATCAACTCTAATCCTGTTACTTGCCCACTTGAAAACTCTGCAGCCTACAGAAGCAAACCTAGAGCCCTTGGGGAAGCCCTCAGGGCAGCCCTCATAAACCTCTGAAATCCAGCACTGTATTGCACACTTCTCCATTTGTTTTCTGAAACGAATACAGCCATTGGTCCTCTAGGCACATGGAGGCCCTACATCCCATGGCATACTTCTCCTTAAGGTCCTGCTCTTCTATGTCCCCTTCTCCCAGGCAAAGAGTCCCCACCTTCCAGGTCTCCTACCTCCCCTACAGTTCTACATGGACAGGCAGAAGTTATAATCACAGGACCACCCCCCGCCTCCCCCAGAGGCCTCACTCCATCTATCCACAGGAGGGAAGAGAGCCTGTGTCACTCACCCTGCGGTTCCGGTTGTGATCCATGGTCTTGAGGTGCTTCTGGATAATCCCAAATTGCATGGGAATGAAGAGGTCACAGGCTGCACAGTGGACTGCTTCTACCTTCTTCACAAAATGCTCCATAGCAATTTCTGTAGTGGGGACAAGGAGGGAGTCCCCAGTGGTCCCAGGTGACAAAGACACATCCAGTTTTGAAAAAAAATCAGACCAGCTCCTCCACTCACTCTGCCACTTCTACATGGGCCCAAGACTAGGGAAATAGGGCTATCATGTCCCTAGCACTGAAAAAAGAAGAGAGTGGGCTGAGGCCTGCCTGGTGGGAGCTGGGAACCTCCTCACCTTGGGTTAAATCCTGGTCTCTGTAGATCTGCTGGATCAGACCATCAAGGTCCTCTACAGTTTTGCGGAGCTCCTCTGTCTTCTTGGTCTTATTGGTGACATACTCCTGCCGGAGACCACAAAAGTTCACATGGCTGCCCTGTGTCCCCAGGCGCTTGAGAAACCAAAAGCAGCTGTGCCACTCCAAGGCTCACCTGCAGGAAGTCGGCAGTCTGCTTGGGGAGCTTGGTGCCCACATACTTAAAGTGCTCCTTGTGGAATTTACTGTCAAGGTGGCTGGCCATCTCATCCTCATAGAAGGTCCGGTATTTGCAGAGAGAACACACAAACTGGATCCTGTCACAGGATGGAAACAATTGGCTGAGTCTGCAAGGGTCCCAGGGACTGGTGCTACCACCTCACCCAACCCAGCTGCAGGCCCCAAAACAGGCCTTGCTCATGGGCCTCAGGCACGGTCCCAGCAGAGGCTGGGACCAGTAGGTTTGGGAGCAGAAAGGGACAGTCTGCAGGCTGCAGTTACGACAACATAGTGGGCAGGGAAGGAGCTCTTCCTTCCCACAGGCAGGAGGCCGGAGGCCGAAGCCCGAGGCAGCAGCTGCTGCAACAGGCAAGGAGTCGCTGGAAGGTTGCCGGAGGGCCTCTCTACCAAGGCTGGGCAGGAGCTTGTGCACTTGGCCCAGCGGGGACCCGAAGGAAGGATGCCCTGGCGTGAGCCAGGTGGCCCTGAGGTGCAGAGTGGAGTACGCAGTCCCGAGGCAGGGCCCGAAAAGGTGCTGCATCTTCCTTCTGGGGTCTGGGGGACTCAGAGGCCCAGCCCATCCTCTGCTCAGAATGCTTGGGGGTGGTGTCGGGAGGGATGGGAGGCAAGCAGGCCTGGGCACCTGCTCCTCATCTTCCTCTTCTGAGAAGAGACCAGTCTGAGCTGGAAGGAGGGCGCCTGCCCGGCCTGCCAGAGGGCAGCCTGCAGTCACCGGGCGAGGTGCTCTGTCTGGGCCTGGTGTCCACAGCAGAAGCCCGGGGTCTAGGGCCTGGGCTGGAGCAGGCCCCGTGGCAAGGGGCGGAGGAGGCCAGCCGCCACCGAGGCCTCGGGGCGGGTCCCTACCTCTGCCGGACGTCCTTATCTGGGCCACGGGGTCAGCTTTGTCTGGAGAGCCCAGGGGCCAGGCGCCGGCGAGGCTGAGGAAGGTCCAGCAAGAGCAAGAGTCTGAGGCGGAGGAGGAGGCAAGCGCCAGTGCGGGAGCCCTGAGGGCAGACAGACCCGACCAAGGGGCGTGAAGGGCTCAGCCGCAGACAGGCCCGGCCTAACAGGCCTGGAGGGTAGGGCAGACGGCAGGCCCAAGGCTGCCACAGCCCACAGGTGCTGCCATCTCTCCTGGTCACGGCGGCGGCCTCTTGGCAGCTAGCTGGGGTGACACAGGCGCCTTGGACCTTGAGTCTCTGTTGAGCTGGCCCCCTCCCTCAGGGGCATCGGCCCCCTGTGCACCTCGGGGCTCGTGCGCTGAGTGACCTAGCGCCGGAGCTTCAGGGCAACGGTGCCGAGCAGTGTCGGGTCTCAGGCCACAGATGCCAGCAGTCGCCAGGCGGCCACAGAGGGGCAGGGGCTGAGTCAGGCCGTGGGAGCTGGGCCTGGCGGGAAGCAGGGTCCATGCACGGCTGAGCAGGTGGCGGCTCCCGAGGGAGGCCAGAGGGCGGCGAGATGGCAGAGCTATGGCTCTGCTCTCCTGGCGGCAGCCCCAGAGCGAGGCAAAGGGATGGAGGGAAGCTGGTTACCTTTCCACCATGCGGTCTCGCTGCCGCTTTTTCTGCTTGTCCTGGCTCTTCTTGCTTGCCAGCAACTTGCGCTTGGCCTGGCTGCTCTCATCCTGTGTGGTCAGGGCCCCTGTGGGAACAGAATGGCACAGTCAACAGCATGGCTCTGCCATAACAGGGCAGGCTCTGTGGCCTCTGGTTGAATCACCCGCTGTCCACTCCAGAGGGTCCATCTGAGAGCAGCTGTCCACGCAAGGCCTCTGGCCATTAGCAGGGCTGGGTGCCCTGGGCTGGGCAGGAAGTGGGTTTGGCCTAGGCCCCAGGAGAGGGGGGACACACGCTGACCCCTCCACTCTCCATGATGCCCTCACTCTCTGTGGAGTGGGCTACGGGGAGGCTGGAAGGCAAAGACACGCTGTCTCGGTGGGGACACTGGCATGAGTTCAGAAGGACCAGGTGGCGGGATGCAGGGAGGCCGCACACATGGCCCTGCCCACCCCCCACCGGGCACCGCGGCAACAGTGGGCTGAGGCTGGATTTACTGTTAGGTACCTGCTGGCGCTCATCACTCAGGTGGGGGGACACGGACTCCCAACAAGGGCTGGAGAGGCGCTAAGGGAGAGGACACGCAAACCAGAGCCGTAAAAACTGCACCAAGGGTCCCAGCTCGGACACCAGCCACTGAGGACTCGGAACTGTGCGTTACTGAGGGACCAAGGGCAGGGGGTGTGCCTGGGGTTCCCCACACTTTTGCTTGCTGCCCCCACCTGAAGGCAAAACCAAGGTACTAGGCAGGGACCACTGCCATCCACAACCTCTGCCTGAGAATGGAGGGCAGGGTGGGAAGGGGTGGAGCAGAAAGAAGAGCCCCTGCCAGCACACACCCGGCCCCACAGGGAGGTCCCCAGCAGGCCACATTTCTGCCACAACCCTGCCCTCAGCTGGATCCCTCCCACTATAAACACCTGAAACAGCCACCCCAGCAACCCAGGCCCCCAGAAGACTCACCCTTCTCCGAATCTTCTTTGCCTTCTTCTCTCCCGTCCTCTTTTCCCTCCTCGTCCTCTCCTTCCTAATACATAATTTTAAAATTCAATTTAAAAAGGCATGCAGTTAGTTATGATGCCTTGAAAGGACAAGGCCCAGAACAAAGAGCCTCACATCCTCCCACTATCTGTGCACAGCAGGTTTGTGCCCCCATTTTCCACCTAGGAACCACATTGCTGGTTAGGTGGTCTGCACTTTCTACCAGACCACATGGCCTCCTTCTGCTAGCCACCCATCACCCACAGCCTGTGAACCCTGTAGTGAGGCCTGCTCTTCAGCCCAGCTCAGTCCTCCCAGGCACCATCTACAGACAGAAAACATCTGGGGCCAGAGGCCACTTACTGCTCGGGAGCCTTTCTCCATAGGCTCAGTGCCTTCAGCACCCTCTGCAGCTTCCCCCTCAGTGCCCTCATCTGTAATGGGAGAGGAGGTGAGCTCAGCCCTGGAGCCCTATGGGGCAGGGAGTAAAGACAGGAGGCAGGGCCCTGGGCCACCCAGCTCACCATTGTCTGAATCACTGTTGTCCGAGCAGTCCGTCCGGGTAGCTTTGCTGTCTGGCTCATCAGGACTGCCACCCTGCTTTCTCTTCTTCTTTTTGGTCTGGGCCAGAAAGAGGAAGATAGATCAGAAGAAGTGGCTCTACCCCAGTAGGGGCCAGGAGGGACAGGCTGCCTTACTCACGCGGAAGTCAGCAGTAGTCCAGGTCTTCCAGGTCCGCCTCATCTGCTTCATGCCATTGCCAAATCCAAAGCCAAAGCGGGAGCTGCCTGGGAAGGCACCCCCGCCGCGCATGCCCTGGAACATGCCGTACTCAGGGATGATGTTCTGGGAGAAGAGGGAGGGCAGCCGGGAGGCACCAGGCATGCACTGGCCCCGGGCCCCCATGGGGTCTTCCCACATGCGCCCATAGCCCGAGGCCATTGGCCGGCCGCTCCGGGCATCCCGGGCCCAGCCCTGCGCCCTTGGACCGAAGGTGTCGCTGCTACGCATGCGGAATTGGTCACGGTAGGCATCATACTGGCCCTCATAGGCCATTTCCATCTCAGGGTCAAGCTCGCTGTAGTCATAGCCTGACCGGTAGAGGTCGCGCTCACTCAGGATGGCCCTGGAGTCACAGGCCTCATAGGAGTCATATCTGCAGAGACATGTAGCAAGCATCAGGCAGAACCCCCACAATGTCCCGCACCTTCAGCTAGTCTAGCCACTGCTCCTGCCATACCCTCTCCCAACCTCCGAGACCTGAGACAGGAAGTTCAGCTCCAGCTACCCAGTCCAGCCCTGTTCAGGAGGCTCACTGTCTGTCCAGAAATGCCAAAGAGCAGAGTCCTAGAAGCATGTTCTCGTAAGGGCTCCCACCACCCCAAGCTTGAACGTACCTATGCACCAGCCTGGGGACCCTAAGAAAGACCCTGGCAGGGAGCCTCTCATCCACTGAGTCTCTACAAGGGACAAGGCTGCTCTCAGCCCTTCCAGAAACATGCACCATTGGTGGTGGTCACAACACCCAGGGCTGCTCCTTAGGGGCAAGGCTACGCACCCCAGGACAATGAATGCTTAGCCGATGAGGTGGGCAATGCCCGTGGAACACTGAGCTAGTCTCATCCCTCATGGCTAGAGGAGCCCTCAAACCCTCCAAAGCCCCTGACCATGCAGAATAAGTGAGAAAAGATGGGGAGCATTTCTCAGGAGACACTGGGAGATTGCCAAGGGATCAGAAAAAAGTTCAAACCAGGTGTGATGGCTCATGCCTATAATCCTAGCTACTGGGAGGAGGAGATCAGGAGGACTACAGTTCGAGGCCAGCCTGGAAAAAGAGTTCTTAAGGTCCCATCTCAACCAATGGCTGGGCATGGTGGTACATGTTTGTTATCCCAGCTAGCAGAAGCACAAATAGGAGGATCGTGGTCCAGGCCAGCCCAGGCATAAAGCAAGAACCTATCTCTAAATAATCAATGCAAAAAGGGCTGGCAGCACTGGGCACCAGTGACTTATGCCTGAAATCCTAGCTACTCAGGAGGCAGAAATCAGAAGGATCACTGTTTGAAGCTAGCATGGACAAATAGTTTGTGAGACCTTATCTTGAGAAAATCCATCATAAAAAAGGGCTGGTGGAATGGCTCAAGGTGTAGGCTCTGAGTTCAAGCCCAAGTACTGGAAAAAAATGGGGGGGGGTGTGGGGGATGGCTGGCAGAGTGACTCAGGTAACAGAGTTCCTACCTAGCCAAGTATGAGGACCTGAATCCAAAAAAGAAAGAGTTCTAAACCCTCTGCACAGCAGGAAGTGGTGGTACATGCCTGTAGTCTCAGCTAGAGGCTGAAATGGGAGGATTACATGAGTTTATGAGACCAGCCTAAGCAACATGGCAAGCTCCTGTCCCAAAAACAATGAAAGAAAAAAGAAGACAAAAAAGATTTCTTCATATTGGGCTGGAATTATATGTCAGCAGTAGAGCACTTGCCTGGTGTATGAAAGGCCCTGGGTTAAATCCCTAGCACCACAAGAAAACAAACCAAAAATCTTCTCTAAACCCTATCGAGGCTGGGGGTATAACTCAATGATAGAACACTTGCTTAGCATGAGAGAGGCCCTGGGTTCCATCCCTAGTACTGCAAAACAAACAAACAAAAACCTACACATCACCTAGGAAGGAAGCCAGACCTCCTGTCTGAGACAGAGTTAGTTTAACTGTGGCTGCAGCTCAGATCTCACACCCTTCATGGGTACAGGGTCCTAACTGTACTCTCCTCCCTAAGCTCAGGACACAGAAGGCACCAGCAGATGGAAGAGCAGCAGCAGCAGCTCTGCCATTCCTTCTCTTACCCTGCTCCCTGGCCTACAGGCTATAGCAAGGGACGGTGAGCCCATGTAAAGTAAGTAAGTCCCCTTTTCCTTTCCAGTGGCCCTGAAGATTTACTTGGCTCTACCAGTGACCAGCCCAACTCCTCCCTACTCTCTGCTCTCCTCTATCTGTCAGCTAGAGCCATCATCCAGCTCCACTACTGGGTCCCCTGCTAGAAATATGTGTGAACCTCCTTACTAGGGCATATGCACTCGTGGACCAACACCAATTCAGTCAATGACAATGCAACTAGCAGGTGATGCTCTGCAGAGGGGTAGATCTGGATGAAAGAGCCAGCCCCACCATGCTCTTGCTGGGTACCTTTGGGCAAAGGATGTAGCTTGCCTGCACTTCAGTTTCTCCCTCTACAAACCCAGACAACAAGAGTCCCCTATAGGGATGCTTTCAACAGGCACACATTCATAAGGCATCGGAAAGTGACAATGAAGTATCCACATCTGCCCACCCTTTGCATGAGGATGGCCCAGTTTACAAAGGCTAATCCCACCCTTCAGGCCAAACCCAATCTGTCCTGCCCTGAGACTGCAGGATGCAAAGTCTGGACTGGACACCAAATGGCTATCCCAAAGGCAGGGGATGCTAGACACTCTGCTCCTGAGGAGCCATTCTGTGGGTACAGTGAAGTCAGCCCAATGGGGGCCTGCTGCACCTGCAAGTCAAGGAGGGGGCGGCACTGAGGAGGGGTGGATGATACAGATCCAAGAAGGGAAATACAGTGGTCCTCACTGGGAGCAGAGTGTCTGAGAAGCCCAGAGCCACGAGGGAGGAACCAGAGGAGCATTCAGTGGAAGACACCAGCGGGCAGTAGGAAGTAGTCACCCCTGCAGAGCCTCAGCCCCTATGCAGTCCCCACTTACCTTTCTCCACCTGAGCCATACACGCCTCCTTGCATCATGTCTGTCTCCAAGTGTGGCACCATATCTAAGCGCTGGTTAATTCTGGATAAAACGGAATCGGCACTGGCGCTACCCGAGGCACTAGGATTTGCATTTGTGTCAGAGCTAGGCATTTCCCAAGAGTTTGAAGTGGCCATACCATACCCATAGTTGGTGGTGTTATCCTGGCCATAGCCATAGCCATAACCATAGTTCTCGTAGCCTGCAGTGAGGGAGAAAGAGGGACAGACAGAGATGGCGGGGGCAGGGATAAGAGAGGAAGAAGCAGACAGAGGAAACACAGAGAAAAGGGTGTCATCTGTCACAGAGACAAGTTGGGGGACTATAGCCACCAAAGTGGGGTGGGCCCTCAACATTCCAGCAAGGACCTCCTGTCATGGAGCAGCCAGCCCCAGGGATAGTCAAAGCCCTCTTAGCCAAACTGGGCAGTGGCAGAGAAACACAACCAGTTCAGTCCCAAGGGAGGAGAGGGCTCTTGAGAATGATACTTGCCTCTGTTTGTCCCAGAGTTCCAAGTTCCATATCCTACAAAAAGTAAAAGAGCAATTATATCCACAGTTGCTTCTAGTACCACATGAGTTTCACTCAGTTTAATTCACTTCGACAGTTATTCCCAATACCTGATTGGCTACAGCCAACTAAACCTCCCCTAATTAAGATGATATTAGACAGCACCACACACATATGCACCAGTCCATTCACTGCTGGTGTACATAAGCAGTCTGTGACTCTGTGCATTTAATATTTAAGAAGCCTCCTGTTTCCAACATTCTCAGCTATCAAACTTGGCTCCTACACTCCTCCCTCAGAGAGCTACAATTAGATGACCTCCCTGCCCCTGGCTGTAAACACTAAACGAAGGAAAATGGTTCATGGTGCCTCATGTAGACTACAGGTTAGAACACTTGCCTAGCATACATCAGGCCCTGAGTTCATTCCCCCTGCACTGCTGAACTAATAAATAAATATCAGAGACTGTTATACAAGAAACCTGGTACAGAATACATAGCCCACTGAAATCATGTCACCCAAATCACTCATCCAAGCCATTTAGAGCAAGGAAAAGGTCCATCCCAGTTCTCCAAATGTCAACAAGCCCTTGAACTGTGTGAGTGTGCTAGACAGGAGCACATCACTGAGTGAAGGATAACAAGCAACTCCTAGCTTGAGAAAAGCCTTTGAAAGAACAATCTGCACCATAAACTAAACATGCTTTGGACTTGACTACAGTGTATGGTAAAAAATTCATTTCACCTGAAAATTCATTTCAGGTGCATAAAGCTGCTGAGAACTGGCTGGGTTCCAGTGATTCACGCATGTAATTCTAGCTACTCAGGAGGCAAAGATCAGGAGGATCAAGGTTTGAAGCCAGCCCGAGCAAATAGTTTGAGAGACTCTATCTCGAAAAACCCTTCACAAAAATAGGGCTGGTGGCGTGGCTCAAGGTATAGGTCCTGAGTTCAAGTCCCAGTACCACAAAATAGATAAATAAATAAAAAGAAAAAGAACAAGAAAATTGGGGGCTGCTGGGGATTGAACCCATGGATGGTAAGCACTTCCTCTACCGCTGAGCTATACTCCCAGGCCCACAGAAACTAAAAATTTTAAAAGTAGGATTTATTATATTAAAAACATGAAATACTTAAGTATAAATATAACAAAATGTGTGCAGGATCTCTGTGTTGAAAACCATAAAACACTAATGAAAGAATTCAAGACCTAAAGGGATTAACATTGTTTTTGTGTACCAAAAGACTTGACATTGTTAAGAAGTCAAATCTAAACTAATGTATAGATGCAAGGCTATCTTACTCAAAATCTATGCAAGATTTTTTTTTGATAAAAACCGATATACTGCTAGGCATCACTGGCTCACATCTATAATCCTAGCTACTCAGGAGGCAGAGATCAGGAGGATTGTGATTCGAAGCCAGCCTGAGCAGAGTTCACAAGACCTTATCTCCAAAACACCCAACACAAAAAAGGGCTGATGGAGTGGCTCAAGGTGTAGGCTCTGAACTCACACCCCAGTACTACAAAAAAAAAGAAAAAACAGATATATTGATTCTAAAATTTACATGCAAACCCAAAGAAGCTAGAATATTCAAAAAAACTTGGAAAAAGAATAAACCCAGGACTCACATTAATTGATTTCAAAACCTACTATCTAAGTTAGGTGCTGGTGGCTCACATCTGTAATCCTCGCTACTTGAACGCTGAGATCGGGAAGATCATTGTTTGAGGTCAGCCAGAGCAAATAGTTCACAAGACTCAATCTCCAAAACAACCAGAGGAAAATGGACTGGAGGGGTGGCTCAAATAATAGAGTACCTGTTTTGCAAGGGCAAAGCCCTAAATTCAAACCCCAGTTCTACTGGAAAAAAAAAGTCAAAGGCAATCCACTAGAGAAAAAACAGTTTTTTCAATAAATGGTGCTGGAACTATTATGTATAATAGGCTCCACTTCCAAAGAACCTTGGCCTACACAGAAATAGATCACAGACTAAGTGAAAAACCTAAACCTAAACATCTAACTAGGCACAGTGGCTCACACCTGCAATCCCAGCTACTCAGAAGGCAGAGATCAGAGGATTATAGTTGGAGGGCAGCCCAGACAAAAAGTTAGCAAGATCCCATCTCAAATAAGATGGGTGCACACCTGTCATTTCCATGGGCAAAAAGCAAGACCCTATGTTTTATAACTTAAAATAAAAAGGATTGAAGGTATGGCTCAAGTAACAAAGCCAAGTTCAAGGCCCTGAACTCAAACCCCAGTGCTGCCAAACAAAAACAAAAACAAAAAAAACCCTGAACATTTAAAAGAAAAGTTGGGAGGAAGTGTTTGTGATCTTGGGTTAGGCATAGATTTCTTAGATATAACCCCAAATCATAATCCATTAAAGAAAAGAATAATAAATTAGACTTCATCAAAATTAAGAACTTGATTTCTTCAAAAGACCCTGACAAAGAGCATAGATAAGCCACATCTGGGAGAAAATATCTGCAAGTGGCACATCTGACCAAAGAATTTAAGAAGATGGAACTTTCAAGGCCTGAGGGGTGTAGCTTGGTGATATAATGCTTGCCTAGCATGCTGGAGGCCTTGGATTCCATCTCCAGCACAGGGGTAGGGGTGGGGATATGTGACTACATTTTATTGAAAGAGGGAGACAGGGAGAGCAGGATAGGGAAGCCATGCAAACCAAATTTCTCTTCATTTGCCCTCTCCCTCTGGGACCACTGCTAATAGTTGGGGAACCTATCTGAGTTTATTCAGTGATTCCTGATGGACGGTCAGAACTTGACAATAAAACAATATACCCTAGCTAAGTAACCAAGACATTTTCTTCATTCCAAAGATGGCTCCTTCCCTAGGTAGGCATGTCCTGTGACAGACCTACTAGGGTCACAGATCACTAAATGACAGCTTTACTGGCAGTTCAGGACTGCTGCAGCATGACAACCAAACAGTACCTGTGAATCCTGTCGAGTAGCTACTTCTGAATTTGAGAATAAAGCATGTCTGTTTACAGTTGAAAAATCAATTGGAAAATTTCATTCAACACTGTGAGTGAAGCCCACTGGCATAAGATGGCTTGACTAAATTCTCTAAAAGCCAACTAAATCCATATGCTCAGCCTCTCCCACAGCTGGCACATGTATCATCCTAGGACTGAGTTAACAGTTTGGTTTCACCTGGACCGATCCTTTAGCCTTCAGCTATTCTCCTTCCCAAGACCTCAAGGGGGATTTTCTGAAGCCAGCTCTTGGGTCAAAGGCCACAGATATTTCTGTAGAACATTAAAGGGCCAAAGGAACGAATCCTTTATGGGCTAGCTGACTCAGTAACACAGATATCATCAGGATTGCCCCAAAGGGAAGCACTAGCTATTCAAATGCCCCACCATATCATTTTATACAAGTCTGGGTTTAGTAAAGCAAGACAGGGTGACAGCAAAGCCAAAGGCAATCAAGAAGGCCTGGGACTGCTCTACCAATAGAAGGCAGAAGACTCTGGTTCCCACCAATGGCCTACACTTACCATAATCACAGGTGGGCTGAGCGCTGGTGTCCGAGTATGTTGACTGCAAAGTGGTTTCAGATCCTTGGACAAAGCCTAAATAAAGGCACAAAGTGGTTAATTTCCCCAAACAAGCCACAGGAAAATGACTAAGACTATCTACCATTCAGTATAAATTGGTATACCTACCTAGGCCCTCCCTTAGTTGGAAAACCTCCAAAACCTCTAGATTGTACACTAATCAAACTTCCAGAACATATTGACCAAAGGAAAGGTAGGCTATGTTTAACTTGTTACACCAGAAGGATTATATAACAACTTTTTTGATAAATGAATACCCAAGTTATCATTAAGTTATCTATAGGAAAAATTTTTATCAAATCACTAAGATGAACTATTTCTAATTCAAACAACGATGGAGATCAGTTTTGAAATAATGTACCCTCATTCCCTTGTTCCAAATCTGAAACAGAAACTGTGTATTTTAGTTTTCTCATTTAAGAAGGTATGTATTACTTTTCTCAGGTTTGAACTCAGAGTTTCAGATTTGCAAGGCAGGTGTTCTATGGCTTGAGCCACACCTCCAGGCCCATTTTGTGTGTGTGTGTGTGTGTGTGTGTGTGTGTGTGTGTGCGTGAGCATATGTATGTGGTGCTGGGAACTGAATCCAGGATCTTGTGCAAGGTAGGCAAGCCTGTAATTATTTGATGTTGGCATGTTTATATGGAAATAAATAACACATACAAGATGAACATCCCTAATCTGAAATCTAAAATCTGAAACTTTCTGGTGTCAACAAGAGGCCACAAGTGGAAAATTCCACACTTAACTTTATGTGACTAGTCACAATCAAAACACAGGTGCACTACAAATATGGTATAAAATATAAATGAATTTCATGTTTATACATGGATCCCATCCCCAAGACATCTCATTAGCTATATACAAATATTCAAAAACAGAAACAAAAAAAACCCAGCCAGGCGCTGGTGGCTCACGCCTGTAATCCTAGCTACTCAGGAGGCAGAGACCAGGAGAATTGAGGTTCAAAGCCAGCCTGGGCAAATAGTTTGCGAGACCCTATCTCAAAAAAAAAAAAATAATAATAATAATAAAAAAACCCTAACAAAAACAGGGCTGGTGGAGTTGCTTAAGGTGTAGGCCCTGAGTTCAAACCCTAGTACTGCAAGGAAAAAAAAAAAAAAAAAACCCCAAACTCTGAAATCTTAGTCCTCATCTGGATAAGGGACACTGGACCTGTGGTGGTATATAACATACTGTCTTCTCAATTCTCAACCTACTTCTCCATTTAAAATGAAGTAGTACCAAGTAAGTAAGGAAAACTCGAACCTCTATCAGAAACGATTACTTTTAAAGACTGGTTACGAATCTGGGCGCTGGTGGCTCGCCCCTGTAATCCTAGCTATTCAGGAGGCAAAGATTAGGAGGATCACAGTTCAAAGCCAGCCCCCATGAAGAGTTCACACGACCCTATCTTGAAAAAAAACCCATTAAAAAAAAAAAAAAAAAGGGATAGTGGAGCGGCTCAAGTGGCAGACTGCCTGCCTAGCAAGTGTGAGGCCCTGAATTCAAACCCCAGTACTGTAAAAAACAAAACAAAACAAAAAAAAGACTAATTAATCCTGACACTGAAGCCTGATTTTTAAAATATATTTTTAAATGACTTACCCTTAGCACTGAAATTATGTTAGATACCATGAAAAGCGACATTTGTCTCTTCTCACTAGAGCCAACTCTAGTTAAAATTAAAGCCAGAGCCTCCAATAGATTATTTACAACAGAAACACACACATCAAGTACTATCCCCCTGGGTAGGCATTCTCATATTTGTTGACAGACTATTTTATTTCTTAAGACTGTGGCAACAAAGAGGCCAGCAACAGCAGCCAAGACTGAACAAGTGCTTCCCCTGCAGGGTGCTAAGAGCTTTATCTGTGTTTCTCATTTCATCCTAGCCAAAGCTAGTGGAGGGGGACTGGGCAAGATCCCTTTCCCTGACATTCCCAAGGTCCAAAAAGGTCTCAAGCCAAATACTCCCCACATATGTGGTGCCAAACTCATGGGGCAAAATGGACCTGTAAGGACATTTATAATCTTTCTTTATCCTACTTGGTACAAAATTAATGTGTTTTCTGTTTCTTTTATACTGCTGGAAATAAACCCAGGGCCTCCAGCACGCCAGGCCCACACTTTTTCAACCCCTAACCCTAATGTGTTTAATTTCAGGAGCCTGCCCTGACACTAGTAGGGTGCTATGATACACACTTCTCTTAAGCTAGAATTCCCAACACATCCAGCTCCAAAGGTTCCCAATAAGCAGCTATGGGCTCAACTTCATCTAAGTGAACACAGCTTGGGTTCTTGGGGAAGGAGAAAACAGAAAATAGACCCAGCCTTTTCTATTCTAATTAAAGACACGAGTTTAAATGGATTCTTTTAAGGGATCTGGGGCCTTCTTGAGACGCCTAAAGTCTAAATGTGGATGATTTAGCAACTGTCCACAAGAAACACTGAAAGCATTCTTTGGGGAGTTCACCTACAGAAAAACCTCATAACGAAAGAAGTATTCAACCCCAGCCTTTTTCATTGCTAGCTCAACTAGCTTCTGGAAACTTGTTTGTTCAGCAACAGGGCTGCCACCAAAATGCTCCCAGACTGTATGTAATGAGGGTTTCTTCTTCTTTTTATTTATTTATTTTTTGGAAATGCAGTCTTGCTATATTGCTCAGGGTGGTCACAAACTCCTGGGTTCAAATGATCCTCTCACTTCAGACTCCAAAGTTGCTGGGACTACAGATATGTACTACCTCACCCAGCTATGTACTACCTCACCCAGCTGTGTAATATGTTTTGTTTTGTGCATTTTTTTGGTTTAGTTTTTTTGGTTTTGTTTTTTGCAGTACTGGGGTTTTAATTTAGGGCCTACACCTTGAGCCACACCACCAGCCCTTTTTTTTTTTTTTTGTGATGTGTTTTTTTCAAGACAGGGTCTCTCGAACTATTTGCCTAGGCTGGCTTTGAACTGTGATACTCCTGATCTCTGCCTCCTGAGTAGCCAGGGTTACAGGCATGAGCCACTGGTGCCCAGCTTTGGTTTGGGGTTCTTTGTTGTTTGTGATCCTAGAGATCAAACCCAGGGGCCTTGTGCATGCTAGGCAAGCACTCTATCACTGAACTTATAGCCTCGGCCCTGGTTTTGGGTTTTTGAGACAAGGCTTCAATTATATACTCCAGGCTAGTCTTGAACTCTCAATTGTCCTGTCTCCTCTCCTACACAGTGATGTGGCTTTTAAATGCAGTTGTTGCTAGGTTTTGCTGGGGATTGGTTCCAGGACACACCCTCCCACCCAAGGATAGCAAAATTCACACATGTCCAAGTCCCTTATATAACCTGGCTTACATTTGCACATACTTTAAATCATCTCTAGATTACTTAGAAGACTTAACAAAATGTAAATGCTGTATAAATAGCTGTCATAGTGTATTGTTTAGGGAACAATGATGAGACAAGAGACTGTACATGTTCAGTAGAGATTTTTTTCCCAAAATATTTACAATATTCTGTTGGTTGAATTCATAGACACAGACCTCACAGATACAGAAGGCTACCCACACTGCAAGTGCAATGGGAACCTACTATACCTCAACAGCAACACATACTGGGGTGCAGTAAGCAAACTGCAGAGCAAAAGATCTATGTCTGTTCAGGAAAGAGGCCCTGCTTCCTCCCTGAGAAAGAAACAGGACAGGGCTGAGCACTGAGCTCGGTGGAAGAGTACTTGTCTAGCATGTGGAAGCACGGGCTCCAATCCCAGCTTTGCAAAGAGAGAGGAGAGGGGAGGGGAGAAGCAAGGGAGCAGAGGAGAGGAGAGAGGGAAGGGGGTGAGGAGAGGGAGGGAAGGAGGGAGGGAGAGGGAGGAAGAGAGAGGGAGAGAGAGAGAATATCCAGCAAAACTAGTAAACCTTCAGGTCCATGGCTATCTCTGCTGTATTCTGTCCTCACATTAATATCCTGTTTGACAGTACAGTCTCTGGAGCAGAACCTTCTTTTAGCCAGTTGTGGCTATTATGAATAAATTCTTATCTGACTCATAAAGTGTTTTCTTTTTCGTTATTTTTCCAGCCTGATCAGCTCTGGGTGAAAAAATAAGCCCTGGTTGGCCCTAGAAAGCTAAGGGTCAGCTCACGGATTTCTAATTCTGCAGTATAACCCAATCTTCGCTCTTAGCGAGCCTCTCTCAACTTTTCTTTAAGAGAGAATTCTTTGAAGGACTGATATGAGAATGACAAAGATTAGAGGACAACTGGAACTAACTTGACTCCAACCTCTGCTGAGCCAGGAGTGGGGTGGTAACCAGCCTCTGAGATGCCTATAATGAATCTTTCCTCCTGAGATGACACAGTCCCCTCCCAAAGTAACAGAGGTATCCAGTGTGACCAGTATGATTTAAGGAAATGAGTGAATGTGACTGCTAAGGCATCTGTTTTGCTCTTTCTTGGATCATTCAGTCTAAAGGAAACCAGCCACCATGTTGTTAGGATTCCTCCGCAGCCCTACAGAGATATCCATATGGTAAGGAACCACAGCCAGAATTAATCTGTCAGGCACAGGAGTTTGAGTCACACTAGAGGCGGGGCCACTACACCAGTCAAGCTTTTAGATGATTATAGTCTCAACTGACAACCTAAATGTAACCCAAGCTAAAACTGCCCAGCTAAACCACTTGTGCATTCCTAACACAATGAAACTGTGAAATAAAAGCTTTCTATAAAAAGACTGGCAACATTTCAGACCTTTGTTTGAAGGCCCGATTCTAGATTTTTTTCTGCCCTTTTTCTTATTGCTCCCATCTTGCTTTTTGGTCCTAGAGATGGAGTCTCCTTTCCCAAGTATAAATAAAACAACTGGGTCCAAAAGCTGTATGAATTAACAAAGAAGTAAATTATTTCTATCATCGTTTGTTTAATAATAGTAACATTTGTTTCAAAGCTTCCAGGACTTATCCTTAAAGCAAGGAGTTATCTGAAATGTGACTTAATATGCCCTTGAATTTAGTGATCTGCTTCTTTTTTCTTGGCGGTAGGGTGGCAGCAGTGCTGGGAATGGAACCCAGGGCCTCACAAGTGCTAATCAAGCATTCTACCACTGAACTACACCCTCATCCCTGATCAGATGCTCTGTGTGTGTGTGTTTCTGGGGCTTGAATTCAGGTCCATGAGCTTATGAAGCAGAAGCTCTACCATTTAAGTCATGCCACAGCCTTTTTGTTTTAGTTATTTTTTGGATAGGGTCTCACATTTATACCTGGGCCAGACTAGATCGAGATCCCTCTGTTCATGCTTCCTATACAGCTGGAGTGACAAGCTCTCTGCACCATGCCCAGTTTTTATTGGTTGAAATGGGATCTTGTGACTTTTTGCAGAGGATGGCCTCCAATCATAATCCTCCCAATCTCTGCCTCCCAAGTGGCTAGATTTGCAGGTGTGAGGCACACACAGCACCTAGTTATGGCTTCTTTTTTGTTTGTCTGCTTTTTGAGACAGGGTCTTGCCTTCTAGTCCTATCTCCAATTCCTGAGTGCTGGGATTACAGGAATGCACCCCCCCACATGCCTTTAAAAGGGAAAGACCCACATTACAAAGCCACTGTGGTAGCTGGGGACATGGCTAAAGCAGTAGAATGCCTGCCCAGCAAGAACAAGATCCTTATTGAAATCCCAATACTACAAAAAGAAAAGAAAGCTACTGTGGTTTTCAGTTTATCAAAATCAAGGGAAAACTATTCATTACCTCACTAGTCTGGCCCACCAAAATTATAGCCTACAAGATCTGGAGATGAAATTCAAGTTTGGCCATTAGGGACCTTTCTAATTCAGTCTATAAAAATAAATGCTCCAGCCATTCATCTTCTGGTTTGCTTATCAGCCCTGTCCCTAAATACCAGAGAACAATCTCCAGTTCTTGGTAAGACTTGGTGAAAAGAACTACATCTTAATTCCACCAACATTAACAACAATCCTATTGATTTTCATCTTGAATGCTACAGATGGGTTCCAATATAGCTGCCTAAACTCAGCATTACTGATGTTTGGGACCAGATAGTTCTGTGTGGTATGGGTCATTTTTCTGTGCACTACCAGAGGGCAAGCAGCAGCCCTGGCCTCTACCCACTAGATGTCAGTAGCATCCCACATAACCAGGGGAGACAACAAAAAACATGCCTCCAGACCTTGCCAAATAATCCCATGGAGGGTGGGAGGTGGGTGAATTACCCCTGCTGAGAACCACTGATCTACGGGATGGCTCCTGACCTTGGGGCCAGAGCAGGGAAGCCTGGCACACAAAGACTACAGAGAGGAGCTCACTGCTCAGTCTTGAACCTTCTAAATAGAATGCAAGTTACCCAGCAACCACATATGCTCAGGCCTGAAATACCTCCAGCAAGGGGGTAAAGGGTGTGGGTGGGGAGTCTGAGAAGCCTCATTGGCCACTGCCAAGGCAAATCCAGCTGGCCTTGGCAATTCACCCACAGATGATTCACAATCACCCAAGCATATCCCTCCCCCAACCCCCTGCCCCTCTCATCACCCACCTGCCCCTGATCAAATTCCACTGGCTTCCCTGGCAGATCTAAGGAGCCAGGAAGTTCCAGTCCATGGGCTTTTTACAGCAACAGCTGCTGAACCAGCTATCTTTACTCTCTCTCACTCTACTTATGTCTCGGCTGAAACCTCACCTCTTCCCAGAGGCGTCCACACTTTCCACGTAATGGATCAACCCCTCCAGAATCCTGTACTCATTTATTTGCCTATTGAGGTCTGCCCTCGCCCCTATAAGCTGCTGAAGGAATTCTTGTCAGCATTCCCAGTGCCTGTTCGGCATCTGACACGGTAAATTTGACAGATGTTCAGTGAATGAACGTAGAAATTAGCCACTCCTCGCCAAGGTTCAAGCTCAGTCCCAAAGGGCACAGCTCAAACCCTGCAAATATTTACATATCCCCCTGGGGCCTGGCGCCTCTCCCAGCTCTGGGACAGACCAAGGGGGTGGGCGGGGAAGTAGCTGCGACATTTTGCAGAGAAACTGCACCGGGGTGGGTGCGGCAATGGCGACGACAGCCGAGCCCCTGACTGATCTGAAAAGTAGAGACTTGAAAAACGACGACTTGGGACGTGGAGGTACGAGAAGCACCGGTCCGGGATGGAGAAGGTGAAAGCGGGGACCTCAAGCTTCACGGTCCCCTCATGGATCACGGACACAGACCACATAAGCCAAAACCTCGCACAGCTAGACACCGGGACGCCAGGGGTTCACCAAATATAGCAAGCCAAGAAGCCGTAGCGTAAGAGGTGCGACCCTAAGACTACAAGCCCACGGCGCCATTTTGTGACCGCAGAAGGCAAGTGACCAGGACGACACGGGAGACGTGGTCAAGTCCGGCACGGCCTCGACCCGTACCTACTTCGCCCCCCTTCCAGAGCACGACCCCTACCCTACCCGGCCCACCTGTGTAGCTCATGGCGGCGACGAACACTACGCCCGCGCACTCCGGCGAAAGCTCTGTGCGTCTGACGCCGAGATAGCTACAACAATCCCCCAGAGCCCCCTTCTACACACCCCAGCCCCGCCTCCCGTCCGTATTGGCTCACGCTAGTCATGGGCTTGACAACTAGTGGGCTGCCTCGCTGTCTACCTAAGCATCTTCTTGTATCAGTGGCTAAAGATGCTGTCAATCCTCTAAGGGCCCCGCCCTATACCCGCCTTCCGTTATGCTAAGCACGCGTTGATTGGTCGAGAGGAGTCCACGGAGAGGCGGAGTCCTGTGGGCTTGCGGAGCTGTACACTACGGAAAGACCAGAGGCCCAAACGCCGCCGGGCGGGAGGAGTAACTGTCCCCTGGGGACCCACCAGAGGGAGCCGAGACAATGGCGCGAGGCACCGCTGCGATCCCAGATCTGTGCTGTCACTGAAATGCTGACCAAACCTGGACTTAACTTTCTACACGACTCCGGACTTAGCTCCAAAAGGAGCGTGATAAAGCCATGGTGGAATGAGAAAATCAAGGCTGCCAAACAAGACGCTGAAATTCAGATATTACGTAATACCTGTAAAGAGATCAGTCTGGTGCTTGGTGCCCTGAATGTTACGTCATTAATCGTTACATAGTATCAGTCAATATACTTGTAAGGATTGGGGGTTCTCAGTAAGGTCCCCAACACCGCAAAAAAATATTTAATTTAAAAAAAAACACGAAAAATTTAAAAATACATTTGTATATGTATATGATACGTGCTTATGTTATATGTCATAAATCTATCTGTATTGTATATCATCATCTCAAATGCTCCTTCAAACCTGCAAGGAACTTTTGCGGTACTGGGCTTGAACTCAGGGCCTTCACCTTGAGCCAGTCCACCAGCCCAATTTTTTTTGTGATAGGTTTTTCGAGATAGGGTCTCGTGAACTATTTGCTTGGGCTGGCTTCGAACCGCGGTCCTCCTGATCTCTGCTTCCTGAGTAGATAGGATTACAGGCGTGAGCCACCAGTGTCTAGCATAGGAACTTTTTGTTGGGACTGGGGTTTGAGCTCAGAGCTTCATGATTGCAAAGCAAGCAGCTCTACCTCTTGACCCACACCTCCAGTCCATTTTGCACTGGTTGTTTTGGAGATGGGGTCTCTAGAACTAATTGCCCAGAGTGTCTTGTACCTCCCCATCTCAGCCTCTCAAGTAGCTAGGACTACAGGCATGAGCCACTGGCACCCAGGAAAATTTTTAAAATTCCCATTTAATCTGGGCATGGTGGTACATGTCTATAATCGCAGCTACTCAGGAGGCTGAGGCAGAATGGCAAGTTTGAGGCCAGCCTGGGCAATTTAGAAAGACCCTCAAAATAAAATGGGCTGTGTTGCTCAATGGTAGAGCGCCAACCCCCCCCCCCCCCGTACAGAAAAAGGAACAAGCAAACCCCCTTTGAAACTACTCTCCTAAAACCTTCTTGGTTCATCCTGGACTTCACCCAAGTCTAGGGATGTAAATTGAGTAGTGCAGCATTTGCCTAGCATACATGAGGCAGAGTTCAATTCCCAGAACTCGCCATCCCCCCAAAAAAATGCAGCTCCCCATGCCAGCATTAACCCCAGCACCTTCCTTGGATGTGTGGAAACCACTGTCAGGGACACTTCATAATTTCTAAGAGAAGACAGAGGAGGACCAGACAATGAAAATGGTGCTTGTTTGTGAAAACTTATCAAACTGTATCGTAATTTATGTACTTTTTTATTTTATGGTGCTGGGAATTGAACTCAGGGCACTCTACTACTTGAGCTACACCCTCAGTCCTTGTTTTTGAGAGTTTCAGGCTACCTTTACCCAAGATGGCCTCAAACTCACAATCCTCCTGCCTCTGCCTCCTGAGTAGGTGGGATTACAGACATGTACAACCATGCTGTCAGCTTTTTGTATCCTTTTAAAAAGTTTGAAATAAGCTGCTGCTTTTTGTTAATGATTGCCAGTTTCTTTAGGTATAATAATGACACAGCAAAATACTGAGATGAATTGATCTGAAGGCCAGGATATGCTTCACAGTAATTTAGATAGGAAAGAGGAGAGGGAAGGTAGAGATTAGGTCATAAATTGATAAATGATTAACAAGGGTTCATTCTACTCTTGTATATTTGGATTCTCTGTAATAAAATGCTATGATATAACCCCCCCTCCTCAAAATGGGACTTTTTCAGAACTTTCTGCCCGATGGAATAAAGTTATGATTTTAGTCAAAGTATGAAGTACATAGTGGTGATTAATGTGTTACAGCTTTGGGATGTACTTTCATGTCACCCTCTAGGATGCCTGCCTTGCTTCCAAACTAAAGTAGCTCCACCTCTTCTATATCCCATTCCTTTCTTTGTGACACTTGCCACAGTCATCATTTCACCCTGATCTGAAGATCTGAACACCCAATCTCCTCACAAGCTTAGAGGAAGCAACTCCAAGGCTGAAACTGTGCTCCCTTGCCTGAGACAGTATGAGTGGCTTAAGCAGAGAACGGCCATGCTTAGAAGTTTTAGGAAAAGATTCTTTTCCTAAAAGGGGTAAAAATTGTAGGTGACCATTGCAGGGATACACAGTGTACAATGGTGGGTGGGGAGGTGCTTCCCATGTTATAACTTCTTTATCATTTGACTTTTTTTATTTTTTTCTTTTTGCATCCATCCTATCTCACTTTCACTTTTTTTTGGTGGTACTAGAGTTGAACTCAGGGC